AAAAAAAAAAAAGCTTTGATTCTCCAACAGGCTTTGCTAGCCCTTGATTGGATTTTTCTTTCATTTTCCCCTTTGGATATTTACAGGTCTCCAGCTCTAAATACATTTGTTTGTTTGTTTGTTTTTTGAGACAGGGTCTCACTATGTAGTTGAGACTGACCTGGAACTCACTATATAGCCCAGGCTGATCTCAAACTCATAGCGGTCCTCCTGCCTCAGCCTCCCGAGTGCTGAGATTACAGGCATGTGTCACCACACCTGGTTAACACCATCATTTTTAAGAAGGTCAGATTCAAGAGTGGCTCATGGGGTACTTGTTATCTTTACTTACAGTTTAGGTTTGGCCAGAACTGGAGGGGGCTCTTTGACCGGGGAGGAAGGCTCAGGGATTTTCGCTGCCTGACCGTTGAACCTCTCTGGGAAGGAATCAGGCCTGGTCTGGGTGGCAGTCATCACGCGCCCCTCAGAGGACTCTTTGCTTCCCTTGTCATCTTCAGGCAGGTTGAAGTGCACACGCAGGCCGATCCTGGAGCTGGACCGGGGCTCATTGTGGTTCACCAGGACCCCTTCAAGTTTGGGTTTGGGGGGTTGCTCTGCAGGAGGCTCGAGGTTGGGGAGGGGTGTCTGAGGCTCACTAGCAGCCAGGTGGGTGGTGGAGTTGGCTGGGTGAAGAGCCCCATTGTTGCTGAGGTCTTCATTCCCTGAAAGGACAATCACAGGACAGGACCCACCCAAGACATTAGAATTGTCTAACAATACCACAATGGGCTTTAACCTGGCACTGGGCGCGCATGCAACTGGAAAAATACTATGCCAAGGGAGCATAGGAGTCGGAAAATGCTTGTCAAAATCAGATCAGAATCGGGTGTATTAAAGAACTGTGAGGATGCAGGGAAGAACTAAACTCAAAATCTAAGTTCCCTCTTGAAAGTTTACATAAGACCAAGGAGATGTTTTCTTAGGAAACATAAGAGCAACAGCAGGATAACTGGGGAGGGAGTGGCTTTAAGTCCAATAAGAAGTTGAAAATTGCTCAAGAACACTTTCCTCAGCTGATGTGGTAGGAGCACATCTGTAATCCTAGCACTTGGGAGGCTGAGGCCGGAGAATCTCCATGAGTTTGAGGCCAGCCTGGGCTACATGATGAGTTCAAAACCAGACTGAGACCCTGTCTCAAAAAACAACAAAAATAAAAATATAAAACTAAATAAAACCACTTTACTCAAGAATTCAAATCTTTTTGATTCATATGTGGGACAGTAAAGAGAGCTAATACAAACTCTGCACGCTGACATTCAAACTCGCAGTCTGAACTGTACTGGTATCTCAGGAGTCCTCACCTCTCACGTCGAGGTGCGCGATGCTGGACACCGTGCCGTACTTGTTGCTCGCAGTACACGTGAAGCACCCAGAGTCTTCTGCAAACACCTCAGCAATGACCAAGGTGCAGATCTCCTCTACAGGCCAATAAAGCAGAACAATTGCTGATTTAATCATGAGAACAGAATTATGGAATTCACTGGTAGTAGATTTGGATTCTACAAAAGTCAATGACTATAGTCCTTCACAGTTACCAATTGATTTGTTTTTCTTTTTGTTTTGTTTTTTTGGTACCAGGGATCAAACTTGGGACCTTGCGCTTATGAGGCAGGTGGCGGAACCACTGAGCTAAATCTCTGGCCCCCCACAGTTACCAACTGAAAACAATTGGTAAAAATGATTATTTTACTGAATCGATTGGTTAGCAACCTAAACGAGTCAAAGGATGGAAGCAAAACTTCGGGGCTGACAGGTGACACTGATGAAGGGAATTTTATAAATGGATCTCATATTGTGAAAACTGAGATTATCTTCTATTTATATACCATCAACCCAGATGGCAAAAATGGAACCGAGTAAGAATAAATTTAAAAACAAATCACAAAAACAAATTAGAGGCCCAAATAACACATTTTCTAAACCTGGGTCTTTCATTATTTCCATGGGGAACTTTTTCTGTAAGGTAATTTTAAATAAAGGCTGCAATTTAAAACTGGACACTAAATACATATTTTGTTTAAGGAGTAGTAATTGGCAGACAGAGTAAATAAAAATCCTGGGAGAAAGGAGAGGGAAATCCATTTCTACCTTTGTAAATACTCTGGTAAAAAAATTAAGATGTGTTGTGTAGATGCACCAGCTCCCCACAAGGAGTGCAATCATTATGTACCACAAACATATATTAATAAAAACATTCTTATGGGTCATTTGATGAACAGTGCAAATCCCCGTGAATAAGCATGGAGGCGATTTCCAGCTAGAACCATATGATCACAGCCCCAAATTACTATAGTCAGACGTTCCTTGGCGACTACTGATGAGGAGATATAGGGTAGCTACATAAACCCCTGGTTGTCACTCAGTGCCCCCAGCAAACAAAATTATTAAAGCCCAGTTGTATGAGGCGAAACCCGGCACCTCAGTGCTTTCTCATAATTAAAAATAAAATTGCCTCGACCACCTCTAGAAAGAAACACTGGCCGTGAAGCCACCACAGACATACCGAGTACTCCTTCCAAGAGTAAGACCAGTGCTGTCTTTGCAACGCAGAAAAGGGCCCGCTGCAGGGCTACATGACCTAGATGTTCCGTGTCTTCTGCAGCACCCTTCCCTCAGCTGTCAGAAGAATTAGAGCATGGAAATTCCAACCATCTTTCTCACCCAGGATCACAAATACAACCTGATTTTTCAGAGTGGTCACAGAAAGGGCATTCAGATGTTTGTGTTCTGCTTTATGAGTGACTTGTATTTCCTACTGGTAAGAGCTTCACCCACTGTCACTTGAATCTATCTCATCTTTACATTTGTCCAATAAAATCTAATAACAACCCAGTGCTGGGGTCAGCGTATTTCCTGATATAGATAGAGTCACTCCTTGCACATTAATAAAAGTAGAGATGATCTTTACCTGGCTCCGCCATGGATCGAGGTTCTAAAAGGAAAACAAAATTAAAAGAAGATAAACATTTATATATATTTATTATATTAGAAGCTTCCTATAGAGTTGCATATTCAGGAGTGTTTGATAAGGTTAATATGTCAAAGTTAAGTAAAACAACCTAAGCACCAGTGACATCGATAGAAACACAGAAGGCAGCAAAAGAGCAACTGAGTGATGTTACGGCCTCTTTGAACAGAGGCCTCAAACCTTAGACAAGGAAGTTCCTGAGTTAGCTGGGATTCAGGAAGGCTTTGGTCTTATGGGCGCCCATTTAGCCTCATCTGAAAGCAAGTTTGTGAAGATCGAGAGATCCTTCTTCACTTTGGGCTTCTCTGTCCCAATAAAATATAGAAAATACTTTCTCCTCTGGGGTCTTTAAGATCAAGAGCCTCAGGTTAGGGAATGGAGTCTCCTGGAACAGCTGCTTAATTTTAAAATTCTTCAGCATTCCTGCCTACCGTGATAATGAACACTGATAGTCAATGAATGTTTATTGGATTGTAGGTAATCAATAGTACTCGTTGAACTTAGTTACATCTTTTACAAGGATAGCACTACTGGAAGGGTTTTCTCCCACAGTTTAAATGGTATTCAGTATTTATTACTGTTGCTGCTACTGCTGCTAAAATCTGACAGTCGTGTTGAATCACACATTACACTGACCCGAGTACTACTATTTTGTGTTAAGAAACAAATGAACAATAGCATAAATAATGCTCCACTAAAATGATATGCAAGGCAATGCACATGTTAATTGGCTTGATCTAAGCGTTCTATAACGAATATATTTCAAAGCATCATGTTGCTTGTAATAAATTACACAGTATTTATCAGTAAAAAGATGAAAAAGTCTAACATCCCCATGCCTTAGGCATGTAATAAATTTTGTGTGTTCTTTTTCATGAAAAACAGATAAAAATAAAAAGAACTAAATAAGAGTTATACATATTTATTATAGAAAAACTGAAAAAGCACAAAAATGTAACCAGAAGCAAAATAATTAACTCTAGACTCACAGCCCGATACCTTAGCAAATTTCCTTCCCAAGTTTCTTTGTAATAATCATTCTACATAGTCAATATAATATATATAT